TCACCGCCCGCCCAGCCGCGGCGCGACGCCGGCTCCGCACATGGGGGGAAAGGGGGTGGGGACTGGCGGGCCGGACGGAGGATGGGCAGCGCCGGCGGCCCAGTCAGCCCGCCCGCCTGGCGAGTGAGGGTGGGCGGTTAGGGGGAGCGAGTCGGAAGCGAGGCCTCGAGAAGGCGAGCCTCCCCCTCCGCGTCGCGGGCGGGGAGGAAGGAGGGGGGAAAAAGAGGAGGGTGCTGCCCCGTCAGAGCCGCTGAGGGTCAAGAGAGGGCTGTGTCTCCCTCGAGCAGCCGCCGCCTTGGAGCGACATGGGCAGAAGGTGTGGGAAATGCCGCCGAAGGCTTGTCCGTGGATTTTCTCCCACATGACCGCTGAGGGGAAAAAAGGGTGGGGGAATCCTCTGTTTTGTCAGGGATCCGTCCTTTCACCAGGGAAGACCACACGGGTGTATCAGCAGCGACCTTAACGGGGCGCTCCGGTGACCTTTGCCGGCACGTGGGAAATTCGCTTGATGGACTCACAACTTCCTGTTAGAAAAGTCCGTGTTCGGCTCAGTCGGAGGAGCCCCAACGCCACATCCCCGTGAAGCCCTGCAGTGCAGCAAACGCATTCCACCCTCTCGTACTTTTCGCCGCCGACAAGGAACGGAGCAGTTCGGCTTGCCCTCCTCTTTCTCCAGCCCCTTCACTTACCTTGATTCAACCGATTCCACACTACAAACACAGCGATAGTTCTTACCCAATTCGGAATTGTGGAACTGAATTGTTCCAGTTAATTCCAAAGAGAAGTTTTGTTGAATAAAGTCTAAAGCGCAAGGGGTACACGTGTTTCTCCGGAAAATAAATACGATTTTTCGCAACTCTTGCTGAGTGTTCAGGATGCAGTTCTTACATAAAATTCAGGTATTGCTGTTAGAATCAAGCTGCATCCTTAAGCAAAATGAGGAAATAAATGTTCACACAAGATAGCACAGCCTGGAAATATTACACACAGTGGAAGCTCTCTCTGTAGGGCTCTTCTAAGCTTTCTCTTAATTATAT